CGCACGCACGCACGCACGCACGCACGCATGCACCATGTACACATTCGCACCTATCAGGGATAGGATCCAAGCGGAAAAGGAGAGGGTAAGTAGATGGATAAGGAGGGTGGGAAGTAAATCGAGTCCACCGATTGGTTTGCCACGCCCACCGCTCTCCCCCGTCACTCGGTTTTCCTTCCCGGATCCCGCCCCCCGCCAGCTACTCCTTGAGTGAGAATACACAGTGATTTGCTACTGTCAGTAAATCGCAATGAATAGAATAGAATAGAAATTATTCAGGAATCAGTCTGTTTCCATTGTTGATAAATTTGTGAATAATGTTCCTGCCTACAATTCTAATGAAAATTATGTTATTAAATGTTTGAAATCAACTGATGAATTTATCAGACACCATCCTAACATGTTAACATGTTAACAAAAACTGATAAGGGGAACACCACTGTTGTCTTAGAACATAATGACTACATGGAAAAAATGGAACGAATGTTATCAGATTGTAATATTTATGAAATAATCGACAAAGACCTACTAAAAAATTAACTAATTAAGTGAATTAAATAATTAAATAATTACGTGAATCGCGATCCCTTTTAGTCAGATGCAAAAATAATAAATTCATAGACGAAAATATTTACAAAAGACTACTTACTACTGATAGGAACGAACCTAGATTATATGGTCTACCAAAAAGCCATAAAATGTCTCTGAGTATAATTGTTTCCTCGAGTAGTAGTCCTCTGTACAATCTGGCTCTCTATTTGAATTATTATTAAGAATAACATACCTGAAGCATCTAAATATGTTGAAAATAGTTTTCATTTAGTTGATAAGCTTGATGGAATCTATTCTGAGTTCAACTTAAAAGTTGTTTTTTTAGATGTTATCTCATTATTCACAAATGTACCAAAATTGAATTGGTTATGGAGAGTATTGGCAAAAGATGTATTGGCATTACATATCAAAAGGCATCAATCTATCGAGAAAACAATTTTTGATAGCAATAAAATTAGTTTTAAATTCAACTTTTTTTGTTTTTAATAAAAAGTTTTACAGATTTATAGTACACCGATGGCATCATTATTATCCTCTATTATTGCAAATATAGTTGTAGAAGATCTGGAAGAGATGGCAATTCAAAAGTTACCTTGTGAACTGAAGTTTTATTTTAATTATGTAGACGACATTCTTTTAGCGGCACCAGAAGGATATTTGAATGTAATTTTACATGTAAATGACGTTTTTAATTCTTGACGTGAACGATTGCAATTCACAATTGAAGTTAATAATAGGAACACGTTGAGTTTTCTTTACATAAAGGTAATAGTTAAACATATTTTATTTAACAGATATAAAAACCGACTATTTCGAAGAGATTTTTGAACTTTAACTCTCAACATTCGATATGCTACAAGAAAGGAGTTGTGTGTGATATGGTTGACAGAGACTTATTACTATCACATCCTATGTTGCATAAAAAAAATTTGATTAAAGTGATTCAAATTTTATTACTTAAAACAAAGAACGACTATCCCCTTAAATTTATTTTTTCAACTATACAGACAAAAATAAAATTTCTTTGTAATAGGGATTGCAACTATGTCACGAAACAACAAAAAAGTTGCGTCTAATGATCGATCCTTTATAGTATCTTATGTTAGAACCATCTCAAAATCTTTTACTTTAATTGTCTTTGGCATAAATAGAAGGATATCCTTTATCGTCTATAATACGTTACAAAAGTATATCACTCGTGGAAAGGGCTGGCTCATCATCAGTAATTTCCAATTATCGCTTAGAATATGATCATAATTTTAAATGGGACAAAGTAAAAATTTTAGATAATGAACCTTCATATAGTAAAAGACTGATTTCTGAGATGATTCACATAAAAAGGCAACAGAATGAATTAAACAATCAAAGTGACACAGAATCTCTTCCTGATTCAGATATTCTGATATTACAGTCTTTATCTTCTTCTTAATTGGTTCTCCTTTTTTTCTTTCCATTATCACTATATATATCTCCTTTCTAATTGATTTTCTTTCTTTTCTTTCCACTACCATACATATTCCCCTTCCGTTTATTCTTCAGCATAATATTTTTGTCTTTTGTCCGTAATCATTGTTTGTTAAATCGTTCGAAAATAACGCACTTGATATAATTATTCTGTTTCAATATCTTCCGGATTGTGAATTTATTGAAATTTGGAAATATTGGTTAATTAAAGGTACAAATAATTTATATCTATTATAGATTGGTTTAAATATACAATATAGTCAAATTATATAACATTTAATCAATGATTATTTTAGTCTAGGTACTGAGAATGCTTTTAATCTTGAAATTGCAATGGGTGAATTTGAATTCCGTTACTGTCTGCAACAATCGAAGGATAGAGAAGGAAAAACAACATTAGAGATATGGACATAAAATATTCGAGAAGGAATAGTAAAATTGCCTTAACATCGAAAAATTTTTTGTATAAGAATATGTGATAGAATTGTTATATCTATGTCGATGATTAAATCGCAAGTTTGATTTAATTTTATAAAATTGTACAGTGAGGATGACCCAATAGGGATTGAAATATATGGTTATGTTTTTATATGTCTTTATGTACTTCTATTTTAATCATTAAATATTAGATTGATTTCCAACATTCGTCATCCCAATTAGCACACAATGTTTTTTAATTGTTTTTTAAACGTTTATTTCTTATTAATTTTACATTTTTCACAATTTGTTTTCAAAATTCATGAATTTCACATTTATTTAACGTTTATTTAATGTTTATTTTAAATTAATTTTTTATTTGAAATAATAGTTCAAAAAAACATTTTTTAAACGATTATTTAATGTTTATTAAAAAAAAGTTTAACATTTATTTAAAAAAATGTTGATTTTACATTAGCTATTTATTTAAAATAAAGGTTTAAAGAAATGTTTTTTAAATATTTGTTTAATGTTTGTAAAATGTTTATTTTATATTATTTATTTATTCGAAATGTAATAATAAGAAACATTTATTTCACGTTTATTTAACATTTAATAAATGTTTATTTCACATTAATTATTTGTTTGAAATAATGGTTTAAAGAAACATTTATTTAATGTTTATTAAATATTTTTCAAACGTTTATATGACGTAGCAAAAATGACTCTTGCTTTAACATTGAATAACTCGATGAAAAAAAATTGTACAGAGCTTCGTAAAAAAGCAAATTAAAGGTAAAGATTCGCTCTTTAGAATGATGTAAATGATAAACGCATTTATGTACAATTTTTAGTCTACTTTGTGTAACTCCACAAATTTTGTAAAAAATTTTGAGACATCTTCATTTATGTTATTGTAACTTCATAAAATCTTCATAAGACCGTTTTTTAAAGTAGCGATCTAAAAAGTAGGGATTTCGAGCTGTAAAATGCTTTTTTAAACATCTCGATGCGACGATTTTTGACGAAGTTATTCTATCTTGAAATTTGCAGATTTTGCCTATTTTTGCAGAGTGAAACAGGTGTTGTGTTAATTTTGTTGGTCAGAGTAATTGTAATAAATTTTTATTAATTGTAATCGGTAACATCAGCGTTCTTCAATTATCCCCAGGCCCCCTGAGCTCCATTGTAGTCACGAAAATTTGTTCAGGGCTAACGGTGTTTAATAATAGTATCTTATTAGTGCCCCCTCCTTCCTCCCTCTTTTTGTCATTCAAAAATTCTACATCCACGGACGAGATAAGTTGCCGGCCCTGGTAGCATATAAAGATATGTCAATGTGTCTCATTTTATTGATAAAACAGCGATCTCATCGGAATTTAGGTTTCACTTCAGGATCCCTTTAAATACGAGCGTGTAAAATATGTCAATGTTACTACAATTTCTTAAAAAAGTTATTTTACAATAAAATCGTCAAAAATTGCCAATTCTGAAAAAATTATAACTGAAGTCAAAAGCATAGTATTGAAGTCATAATATTTATAGTCGATTCTTACATTCAAGACCGTCTTAAGTTCTTGAGATATCACGAACCAATCAAAAGGCCGCATTAGCGTCTTAAGACATTACTTTAAGACGTTCTTGAAATAAGAACTGACGTTCTTGGAATAAGAACTATAAATACCGGCCTAAATAAAATACATAAATCTATTATTGAAATGTTCTGTGTCCCAGTTAGAAAACAACCATTGGTCTGTTTTCTTTTCCTGCACTAGACTGTTCTAGAACTCTTGCTTTTGGAC